GAGGGGTATTTACAGTAAAGGAGAACAGTGGGTATGATGGTGGACAGTATTGCTGGAGAGGAGTGTGGAGGCTAGGACATTGGGCAGCATCTGCAGTAATGGAGTCCTGAGGTATGGCAGGGGGCAGTGTGTGCGAGAAAGAATTGTGGAAGGTATGTCAGTAGGCATTATGACAGGAGAAGAGTATCAGGTTATTAACAGGGAATGTGTTATGGAATCCAAGAACAGTGGAAGTAGTGCTGGGGATGTGGTGGATAGTCCAGGGCTTTGTTGCCACAGATTGTTTTAAACAGGAAATGGGGAAGTGTAGCCAATATTGCCACTGGACCATTTGAGTGGAGATTAGACTGATATTTGGCATGGTGCAGTCAATAAATGTGAGGGGTTATTGCACATGCTCTGGAGACTGGGTGCTGAGCAGTTGATGCACATCTACTAGGCAAGGAGAGTGATGTTACACCCTAGTAGTGGAAGTGTGTGACTACAAGCTTCTCTGTAACTGAAATTGGAGAGTGTGTGCTGAAGTAGGGATAGTGGGAATAGGGGTAGTGCTGGGAGAAGGATGCAGGGGAAAAACCCAAGGTGTGTGTGCTGGAGGTAGAAACTTATTAGGGAAAGACCAGTTTGTGTGCTGGAGGAGGGATACAGGGGAAAGACAAATGTGTGGGCTGGTGTAGGGATACAGGGAAAGACCAATATACAGTATGTGTGTGCTGGAGCCTAATGCAGCCACCACATCCAAGGATTGGTAAGCTGCAATATAAATAACCTTTGCTTTTAGGTTTATATACTGTACACTTTAAATAATGGATCTGTCAAGTTTTAGATTTTAAAAAATATTGTTTTTAAATAGATTTAATACAATGTTATACTGTTGCAATTCTTAATGAAAAAAGTAACTAAAGTATTTCTAGGAATGCCTGTAATCAGTATTCTTGTGCTGACTTAGACATCTGCAGTTTATAGCAGGATTAAAATAACATGTATTTTTAGAATAAATGTGACCTAGATGCACAACATGGATGCTTTACACAGTGTATATAGATATACATGTCCATTAAATACATAAAGAAGTGGGTTTTGCACTAAGATGTCCTACATTCTAAGAAGACAGTTTGTACTTTGTTTTGTGCATAGGGAGTGCTGATTAATAAAACTACCCATAATACCCTGTTCTACATACATACATGGCAAGTGTTCATGATGTCAACCAACCTACCGGTTATACTACAGACTAGGAATAAGCTGAATTACTATGTATTGTTGCTGTCACACACAATGTTGTAAATAATGTCAACATTGTGCCCTTCTTCCTTATGTCATACATTCCTTGGGACTATGTATTGAATGTTGGTGTGGAGAGAGAAGCAGTGACATTATCTGTATGAAAAGTCTTAAACTTAAGCTGCAAAATAACTTTGTGTCAGGAGTTTAATTTTAGGGGTTGTGTACATGGATATGATACTCGGAAGAATTAGTTTAGGTACTTCAATGTAGATCAAAGCCTAACCGCTAAATTCTCATGTAAGCTTTATCATGTGGATACACCTTCTAAAATTGTTTCAAATGCTTTTAAATATGCAGCTTTCATTAAATTTATCCCTGATGATTCTACTATGAAGGCCCTTGTACTGGCATTTCCTGTTATGCAGTGACAACTGTCTACCAGTTGTTTTCCTGTGTTGTCACCCTGCTAAAAATGCCAATCTGGTTGAGACTACAAGTGACCATGCCGACACACATTGCACAGGCATTGGCCACTGTGGTTAGGAAGCTGGTACAGAGAAATGTACTCTACTCCTCTATTTTCCCCATTCCTTCCCTCTCCCTTCTTCAAGTTAGTAGATGAGCAGCTGCTGGAGATTGTGTTGTCCCTTGTGATCTTGGACAAGAAGGTCAGGGGAACCGAGCTGAGAGAGTTGGAGTGAGCTATTCTAAAACAGGATGACTGTAAGTGATTTGCCAAAAATGTAAAGAAATACTTTGCTGGGCAATGTATATTTGTTTTATCTGGATTCATTATTGAAAAAAAGTTTGAGAGTTCAATACTGCTTAAAGCAGAGGTGTATCTAAACCAAAAAATAAACATCTTCTATATTACAGCTTATTATTCCTTAAATGAGCTACCTGCGGTAGCCCCCCCCTCCCCCCCCATTATTTCCACCTGGTAATCGTGCAAATAACCCACTTTCTGTCCTTGGTGTGGCTACATTAACTCCTCCATTGCTTTTATGGACAAAACCATGGTTACCACCCAGGCTTGACTTAGACTTTTTACCTTTTTGTTCACCTCTATTACATATCGGGCGATCGAATTAGTAGTTTACACAAAGATACGATTGTTTTATGCTTCCAGTTCATATCACTGGAAGTGACAAGTATACTATTTCCAATAAGAGGAACAGAATTCTTCTGTACTTGCTAAACATGTGCTTAGCCTGAAAAATTTAAACAAATGCAGCAACCACAACTTAGCACTGGTACGCTGCAATATATGCAATTTCAGTTCTTGGATTAAGTTATGCTGTAAGTGGGCTGTGACACCAGAGACCATGTATGCGATTAATGTGATTGAATTTACAGTGATGACTTAATCAGCGGCCCATCCTACTGTCTCCCCATCATCAGTAGTTGACCGCGAGCTGTTGGTGATAGCTCGGTCACAGTTTTGGGGTGACAATTGAGCACGCCTGTAGAACAACACAGGCACACGTATAAGTGACAAGTTGGTGTTGAGGCCCACCCCTGTGCTGCAACGTCAAAGGAAGTAAGGATTGCTCCAGATGAATAAAAATTATTTGCCTTCACTGACCATGATCATGTGCAGTTAGTAACGAATTGTAGATGGTTGTGTCAAACCCTTTTCCCTCCTGAGTGTATACTGAGGAGAAAAAAGCGTTCAGCGCCTCGGCCCTCTCCTTGTCGTTTGTGACTAGCTTCCCGCTTTCATCCTTTATTGGGCCTATCTGCTCCTTTCTCACCTTTTTACTGTTAATATATTGGTAAAAAAAAAACTTTAATGCTTATTGCCATGAGTGTTTCTATGAGTATCAATGTTGACAGCTTTGTTTAACTTTATGTTAATTCTAATGCAGCAAGTATATAATTGATTAAAGTAGGCAGCTTGCATTACTCAGAGAAACATCCCTTGCAATTGACAAATTCATTATTGAAACATCGAATCATCTATTATCTCAGATAAGTGGTTAACTTTCAGTTGTACAAAAATGTTCTCCTAGAAAAGACAGATTACTCTCGTGTGTGTATGTATAGACTTTAAACTCTCTATCTTGCACAGTTACTTCCAGTTCTTGTGGTTGTCAGGCCTTGAACGCCATAACTGTAGAATGATATGGATGCTTTACCCAGATATTGGTGAATTTCTATTTTGTTAATTGTAAAAGGAATTACATATGTTTGCTTTATTATTGGTTGCATACCTTTTAGGTGACCGTACACAGAAAGGCAATAAGCTGTGGATTTGACTTAGTACTGTTTGCTTTCAGAGTTAAAGAGTGCCCACCACTTTATCCATTCTGGAGAAAGTGACAGGTTCTCTTAACAGGTCATACAACACCCACCTACTGGTCCTCACCTTCACTGTACTCCCTTGCTGCTCTATTCATCTGTTTTAACCCTTAGATATACTCAATACTTGACCAGGGTTAGGGTGAGTGTTTCTTAATTTTGCCCGTAGACCAAAACAAGCACAAGAGTAGCTCCACTACAAGGATGCATTTTTAAAAATCCTGGAGTTCTTCTTTACGAATAAAGCTCATGCATTGTTCAGTACTGTAGACTTTGGGGGTGATTTACTAACCTAAACACACGCACGCACCAGGTGCGTGTGATTTTCACACAGCAAAACGTATTTATCAACCAAAAAGTCTCTAAAAGCATATTTCCACTAATGCCATATATGGAAAAATCATGCACATGATGCATATATAATGCTGCTTCACAGTTTAGACAAAAATGGTTAGCTCATGCATTTACATTCCTGCATTCATCAACGCAAGCAACACAACATAGAGCTAATTTACACAACATCACCTTGCAATTCATGCAAGGCTTTGCACAACGCACCTGCTGGGTGTGTACACACTACAAAGGTGTTTAGATTCCACCCATAGATCATGCTGGGAGGGAACACACTACAGAGGTGTATACATGTTCGTGGTGTGTTTATAAGGTAGTAAATCAACCCCTTTATGTCAGTGTTTAATAAACCTTTGCCACCAATATTTTGGCTGATCAGTGTTTGAATGAGAACATATTCTTTTATTGGTTAGTCTTACAGGATATTCCTATTACAGGAATGTGGGGTGTTTGTCTGAACCACAGCATTTTTATGGCTGTATAAGAAAAGATGAATTATTTGCTCCACAAAAACTATTGAGAGGATTTTGAGAAACATTAGCTTTTGCTTATATCAACCAGTCATATCCCAGCTATCATTGTTATTGTGTATCTGAGTTTGAAATGACAGATTATGCCTGATTGGGTGATTGTAGTTCCTAGACATTGTGTTAAAATGAGCCTCATAAATAAAAATGGGTCATTTACATGTACATGATTGTTGTGTCATACATGAGACATAACTACATCCGTGCCATTCTTAAAACATAGTGGATATATGCATGCTGTAGCCTAAAATAAAATATAGTGATTGATTTGTAAAATGCTTTTTTCTAATATAGAGAAATGAGGGTACATTCCAGATGTGGAGATTCATATTGCCTATTTTACAGTGTGACTCATATTGTTCTCCCCTTCTTTGAAATAGGTTATGTGGGTTTGCAATCTGTGCCGAAAACAACAAGAAATTCTTACAAAATCAGGTGCATGGTTTTTTGGAAGTGGGACACCGCAGCCAGCAAGCCAAGATGGAACACTAAGTGATACTGGTACTGGTGCTGGCTCTGACGCACCAAGAGAAAAGAAAGCAAGACTTCAAGAGAGATCTAGATCTCAAACTCCTTTAAGTACTGCTGCAACAGCAGGTTCTGAAGACAACTCAGCACCTAGTTTACAATCTGATAGGAGCAAGGGTTCAGAACCATCCCTACCATCTGCAGTTCAAGATCAGAAGACTTCATCAAGGTCGAGAAGTGAACCACCAAGAGACAGGTACAGCATACTTCGGTCCCCCTATTGCCGCCATCTCCACTGCTGCCACATTTGGGTTACCATGCATCTTCCTCAGCCATTGGTTGTCCACTGATGATGTAACTCCTGTACAGGAGTTACAGCCTCCCCGGCATCACGCCCATTCACAGAATCTTAGCGATGCTGTGAATGAGCTGAGAGTGTGCACTGCACAGCGCTGGGGCCTTACAGTGTACACAGAAAATAAAAAATTGCTAGGGGAAAGAGGAAAACCTTTTTGGCAGAATAGAGTTTGCATTTTTTTCCTGTCAAAAATACCTACCCTGTAGAATTATTTTCTGCTTTACAGTTGGTGGGAATGATTTGCTTGGAGGAAACATGACATTTCTCACTCACTTTAGTTCTTATAAAGTTGACTCCCTTCTTTGGAACAGGAAAACCACCAATGCTTGCATGTACACGTTTGGCAGAGAAGACCAACACAGGTCATAATCACTGTTTCTGTTCCTTGCCTTATGGATCAGAGAATGAGGTGATTTCTCTCCATTGGGATGGAGAAAGAGGTTAAGTGTAAATAATGCCATAAGTCCTAGGATAGAAACTTTATGAATATGGAAATCCATTTTGGTAAATAGTGTACCGTATATACTCGAGTATAAGCCGTCCCGAATATAAGCCGAGGTACCTAATTTTACCACAAAAAACTGGGAAAAAGTATTGACTCGAATATAAGCCGAGGGTGGGAAATGAGGCAGCTACTGGTAAATGTACAAAATGAAGATAGATACCAATAAAATTACATGAATATTTATTTAAAAGAAAAACAATAACCTAGCTCTGTAAGTGGAAAAGGGGGTACAGGGCTACATATCATGTACTACGGATCATTTAACCCATTCATATTAGCAGAGGATAATTGTAAATCTATTGTTCAGTGCACTCTATATGTAGTATATAGTACATGTACATATAGAGTGCCTGCAACAATACATTTACAATGATTCTCTGCTAACATGAATGGGTTAAATGATCCATAGTACAGGGCTACATACAGATCATTTAATCCATTCATGTTAGTATAATTGTAAATGTATTGTCTGCACTGTATTAGCAGTATATACTCTATATGGTCCTAATTTAGCTGACTTAGAGGTGCCTGCCCGATAATTACAACCCCACCTGGAGCTCCTCTCGCCTGACCAGCACGCCGCTGACTCATCCCTGCTCCCCTGCTCCTGACTGGCCGCTGCAGGGTTTTTTTTGTTGAAAAGTGCCCCCCTCGGCTTATACTCGACTCAGCGTCGCGGCGCTCGGCGAGGTAAGTAAGAAGAAACCTGACCAGCTTGAGGCGCCGATTTGGGTATAAGCCGAGGGGGGCACTTTTCAGCAAAAAAAATGGGCTGAAAAACTCGGCTTATACTCGAGTATATACGGTAATTAAATACAGCATATGTCTGTACATTTTGAATGCACTATTACTGATTATTTGGATAATTTAACTCATCAGAAAAATAGGGCATGTTATGATCCATTTGCAGTTTTAGTAAGGTCCTGTGCAAACTGGTAAGGATGGTGTGGATCTATTAGCCTCTGGTGCTGAATAACAGCTACTGGTACAAGAAATATTGTGCAGGCAGAGGGAAACCGTTTCTACTAAGTATCAATGAAACAACCAGGCACCTTATGATGAGGTGGTTCCTTTTAGCCCACCAAGGTAAGTAGTTGTTACATTATGTTGGTCCATATCACTCAATAGGAACCATGGTTTACATACAATGCACTGATGATGGCCACCTTGTCTAAAAAAGCTGTATGTGGTTTGGAATAAAACGGACTATAATATTAGGCCGTATCTGTACTATAACCCAGCACGTCTGAATGTATATTTGTCCATAAAGGAATTAATTGGTTGGTTCTGGCAAACCCTAAAATGATGAATAAACCCCTTATTTTTGGATCTTTGATGGTAGAGAGATGAGCAAAACTTTCTGTTTAAGAAGCCTTTACTGTGTTTTGTACTAAGCAACAGGAAATGCTAGAGGGTAATGTCCTATCATCAGTAAAGAAAGGGAAGCTGACAATGAAGCAAAACCTGTGTTAACTTTATCCATGAATGACTTCAAGAAGCAAAGATTAAGGCTTTTTCATGTCTTTTGACTATGCCCTACATAGTCCCTATAGCTGCATCTTTTTGAAAATGTTTGTGGGAATCTCAAGCACTATAATACATACAACACACTAAGAATATTCCTGAACTAGCAGCTTTTTGGGAGTGAACACTCTAAAACAAAAATAGAACAACTATTAGCTGGCTACAGAAAAATACAAATGTCTTTGAATTAAATGTTCGTAATTACTGACTAAAAATGTGATCAAACGTTTGCACTTGTCACATTTTTTTATGGTTTTTTTTTTCCAGTTCCTTACATTCAGAAAATAGCATTTGTGCATTGACATTTGCAGAAACATTTCATGCTAAAATGTGAATAGGGTATGCTAAATTCCTTTCACTTAGAAAGATAACAAAATAGTAATCTTGACCAGATTTCCCAAACGTTTGCATGACTGTAAGTCTAGACATAGTAGAACTAATGTACTAAAGATGAACAAGTGTGACCAATTCTACAACATTCTGTATTAGGTAAAATATAGTCAGTGATGTAAGAAGCTTTGGAAATTTTGCTCACAATAACTATTTGAGTTATGTGATGGAGGAAAAATGATTTATGCTTTTTTTTTTAAATTGTTGATTCACTACTTTCTAGGAAGAAGACTGTAGCAGTTTCAGAACAGAATGGAAAAATCTTAAAAGGGGAACGCAAGAGAGTCCAGAAGCTAAATCAACAAGGTCAGGCATATCCTGATGAACATAAAGAAAGGAGAGAGACTAGAAAATTGGGGAAAGGGAGATCCCAGGACATTCCAGAAAAACTAGAAGAAGGAGCAAACCTAGAGGATGATCAACAAAGACTGGATGATGAGTATCTAACTCGGTATAGGAGTGACCCTAACTTAGCTAGATATCCTGTAAAACCACAGCCAGAAGAGCAACAAATGCGTATACATGCCAAGGTTTCAAAGGCACGGCATGAGAGGAGACACAGTGATGCTTCCCTACCCCATGCAGAACTGGAAGAAGCAAATGTTCTTGAGAACAAACTAGGGAAAAACTCACAAGTACCAGGAAACCAGGATAAAAGAACAATTTTGGAAAGTCAACAGTCATATTCAATTGATAGAAATGGTGATGGACCTATTTCTAAATCCAAACAAGTGTCCAACCACAGCCCTCCAAGTCCCAGACACAGTCCTGTACCCCCAGAGCATGTGGAATCCAAAAACCATGATTCCTTTAAAAAACAAAGCCGGTTAGATCCCAGCTCAGCTCTTTTAATGAGAAAAGCAAACCGTGAAAAAATGGAGACAATGTCAAGGAATGATTCACTTAGTTCAGATCAGTCTGAATCTGTAAGGCCATCCCCACCAAAGCCCCATCGATCTAAGAGAGGTGGAAAGAGGAGACAGATGTCCGTGAGTAGCTCAGAAGAAGAAGGGGCGTCAACACCTGAATATACCAGCTGTGAAGATGTGGAAATAGAAAGTGAAAGTGTCAGTGAAAAAGGTAAGAGAATTGTGTGATATTTTAAAATATATTTTGTCATTTATCTTGCTCTGGGAAAAAATGGTAAATGGATAGACTAATGCCCACATATCAACAGCTAAAATAAAGCTTTCATTCATCTGACTACAGCTATGTACTGAGCACTGATATTCTTGCCAGAGGCTGCTGGTTCCCATAGCTTTTGCTATTATTCATACACACAGTTCATATAATTTTAAGTGTATCAAATACTGGTATAGCCAGGAGACAAGAAAAGCCTCAATGCGACAAACTTTGCAAAGTATTGCTTCTTCAGAAGTCTTAGGTAAGTAATATTGCATAACAAAACAAAGTTGTTAAAACAAGAGCAATATAAGCACATCAAGTATATTATTATTATTGCATAGTATTTATATAGCGCCAACAGTTTGCACAGCGCTTTACAATATAAGGAAGACATTACAATCACAATTCAAGACAAGATGGTAAGGAGGGCCCTGCCCCTGGGGCTTGCAATCTAAAAGAGGAGGGGGAAATGATACATGAGGAGGTATCTGTGTGGGGATGAATTATTTGAGAATGTGATGGTTCAGTGGTTAGGTTGAGGTGGGATAGGCTTCCCTGAAGAGATGAGTCTTTAGGGAACGCCTAAAGGCAGTCAAGGTGGGAATAATGTGAATAATGTGGAACCTCGCGCCACTACTCCAATCAGGTTAAGCAGCAGCTGAAATCTGTGTGGTCAGATATATAGTATAAAATTAATAATAAAAGCCGCGCTGTGTGAATGAATCTACAAAAGTGTCAGATATAGTAGATACTGGCCGTGAAATAATGTGATACAATGTGTAAAAAGTGCGACTCAAAGAAGAAACGCATGTGTATAACATGCACCTCAGTGTAAATACATTGCTACAAAATATCCATAATGAAAAATCAAATACAATAGATGTTAACTGTGAAATAATGTGATGCAATGTGAAAAGAATAACAAGTAGAAAAAACGCATGTGTATAACATGCACATCAGTGAAAATAATAAATGGTTAAAAAATTTCCATGATCCTGGATCTTCAAGAGTCCATTAAGAAAATAGAAGATAAAACATTGGATGTAACCAACATAAGAATGTAATCTCAGTCTCCTGTGACCATCAACAGAGAAATCTCCTGGAATGCACCTCACCTTTAGCAGAGACCCACCAGGGTCTGTATGCGCTGTTCCTCTAATTCAAACCAGGTAGAGGAAGCACCTGATGCCGAACACCTCCCAGTGATTTCCTCCTCTTAAGGTGGCCATACACTTTACAACCATCGCAAGACCTTAGTCTTGCGATGGTTGTAAAGTAATTAAAAAAACGTATGATCTGCCCATCTTGGACAGGCAGATCGTACTTTCGATCATCGCAAGCCCGCCACCCTGAGGGGCAGGCTTCCGAACACCGCAATGCTGAACGGGCAGTGTGCGCGTGCGCACACCGGCCCGTTCGGCATTTGTCTCCCGAGCACGGTTCAAACCAGCCGAAAATCGTACGATTCTCGGCTGGTTTTCTAACATGCTCCTTAGACAAAAGACGTGCGACCGTACAGTAAAAACGGTCGCACGTCTTCCATACACTTTGCGATTATCGTACGATCGCGGGATTTCCCGCGATTATCGTGCGATAATCGCACAGTGTATGGGCACCTTAAGGTACAGACTCTCTTGCAGTCTCAGGAGTTGAAAGCAGTCAATTCATCCAAATGGCCCATGCATCAGATAAAAGATGGAAACTCGTAGTGCAGATGGTTTAAAAAATATACTAAACTTTATTAAAAAAGGATACTATTCACATATCATAGATAAAAATAAGGTTTTTAGTAAGCAGCCACAGACACTGTGTGCAGTCGCTCAGCTCCTATACTCCACCCTACGTACGTTACGTCAAGAGACGTGGCTTCATCAGGGGTGACCTGATGAAGTCACGCCCCTTGACATAAGGTCTCTATCTCACATGCATACTTAGGAAGGCCAATTTCAGACCGGAGCCAATTAACCTTCCAGCATGTCTTTGGAGTATGGGAGGAAACCGGAGTACCTGGAGGAAACCCACGCACGCACAGTGAGAACATGTAAACTCTGTGCAGACAGTGACCTGGCTGGGAATCGAACCAGAGACCCCCCAGTGCTGCAAGGCAGAAGCGTCAGCCGCTATGCCACTGCTATGATTTGCCATAAATGCTGTAGGCGTATATTATTATTAATTATATTTAAGTGTCATTTCTAGTAACATAAAACTAGAATAAATTAGCCAATGTAGCTAATGCTCTAATATTTCTTATACTGATTGAAATTTGAAGTGCACCTGTGCTCTGACAATGCGTGTCAAAGCATTTAGATATTCTGAACAAGCAATCAAAGCACTTTAAAACAAGCCATACCTGGGCTCTTTATCTTAAGGAAAATTCATCTTTAAATATCATATGGGAGGCACTGAAATCACCCATCCACTCAGCTTATTTTCTATGGAGAGCACAATCTTGGCAGCCTGCCAGCGCTCTATGGGGGGAAAAAAAACAACAGGCGCTTGTAAGCCGTTAGAACATGTCTGAAATCTGATTTCAGACTCTCTCTTTAAAGTGGACCTTGCACCATAAAAGAAATGTAGAAAATGAAAGGCATAGCTCATTTTTTTGTTAAAACATTAATAAATGCACCCACATTGATTAAAAATAGTGCGTGGGAGCCTGCAAAGTGTTGCCGGTGCTATCAGAATCAAGCAAATCAATAGACTTCAATGAGAGTGCCTGGAAAATCGTGCGTAATCCACATTACGTTTTATTGCCTAGTAATTAGCTTTACATTGGCTAAAAATCAAATAGAAATGCTCAAGCCTAAAATTCATGCAAAAAGGCCTGTATTATGGCTCCAATATATGCCCGAAAAATCTCTCAGATGGTCAGCTGAAGTGTTAATAGGGCCTTACATAGACATTGCCTGTTTGCTTCATTCAGACTTTGAGGTTTTCTTCACTACTATTGACCACTAGAGGTCACTCAAATACAACTCTATTTTCCCTCTGCTGAAAATACAAATGCTGATACAAATGAACACATAGAAATCTGAATTAAACCTTGAATCTGAATTAAATGTGAATTATATGACCACCAGGTTTTCTATGCAGATATTTAAGCAGCAGAATAAACGGTTTCTTTTAGCTGATTGGCAAGCATGTAGAATTTGAAAATAAAGATTATTTAATCAAACCTCAAAGTGTAGGCCCAGGCAAAACTTTTAAAGTTATCTTTGAATAGAGCGGGGAAGATTCAGAGCACCTTTATGGTTACTATTGCCTTTGTTAGCTCCATTACAGAGATTGTGCCTGTTCTGACCCAAAAGTTTTTAGATAGATAGATAGATATATCTGTATATATTGTGGCAGTGTAAGCCAATGCCACGGTGGAGGATGGCGACCTTGGCACCCAGGACTCTCAGCCAAAGGGGCTGAGAGGGTCCAGAAAGTAAAGCAGGTTATAAGGAAGAACCTGACTTTTCAGGTTATTCCAGGTATATATCAGTGTGTGTATATTAGGGATGCACCGAAATGGAATTTTGAGACCGAAACTGAAAATAAAAAATTTGTCAGGCCGAAGCCGAAAATTACTTTTTTTTTTTTTCTTTGTTTTTACTTTACTATCTTGGGCTCTATGGAACCCTATTAGGGCTCTAATAGACCCCTATTATTTTCCTTTTAAAATAGAAAAAAGATTGAAGACAGAGTCCTCAATCTCTTTTTCTACAGCACCAGTTATAAATGAACAGGAAGCCTCTATACTGAGTGTTCCTGTTCATTCATACATTGTGGATATAGTGTCCTTACGAGGTGTAATTTTCTTTCTCTGCAGTGTTTCAGTCGTTTACAATCGGACAGTATGATAAATGTAGGGAGAGATGCATTAATGATGCACACCGAATAACCCCAAGTTTTAACAAACTCTTAAAAACAAAACACTTTATTGAGGAGCGCAACTACCTGAAATCACTTTGGTGAACACATGGGCTGAACACTGCTTGTACAGTAATGTTGGGACATGTATATGTCAAATACGAGGTGTAGAACACCAACCTATAACTGGCCCTATAGGATAGAAAAGATGTTAACTTACAGTTAGGATGTGGGAAAATGTGCCCAAAAATCTCTCCCGGGGTTCGCTTCAGGATCTGTTGGTCGGGGTCCTTCTAGCTGGCAGGTGAGAGGTGAATGGCTGGAGAAGAGCTTGGCTAAATGGCTTGTTCCCTCCAATTGTCAATCCAATTGTCAATTTTCGGCTGGTCTAAAGCAAGTATGCGATGGTGAGGCAGCCCACGTGCCCTCCTTGACAAAGAGGAATTTCTTCGAAACGCGTAGCCATCCACCCACCGTGAACTTCTACCCCCCGTTCAGTCCTTCACGACTTTCGCTGACTACGAGATTACCGCACACCTCGAGACAGCAGCCCGACTGCACCGCTAATACACACGGGACCTGGCGCCTCAGTGCTGTCCGCGGCACCTCGCTCTCCCCCTTACACTCTCCCCATCCCAGCCGTTGCGGCCCGGCCTGGCCAGCCGAGTACGTGGGCTGCCTCACCATCGCATACTTGCTTTAGACCAGCCGAAAATTGACAATTGGAGGGAACAAGCCATTTAGCCAAGCTCTTCTCCAGCCATTCACCTCTCACCTGCCAGCTAGAAGGACCCCGACCAACAGATCCTGAAGCGAACCCCGGGAGAGATTTTTGGGCACATTTTCCCACATCCTAACTGTAAGTTAACATCTTTTCTATCCTTTTAGGGCCAGTTATAGGTTGGTGTTCTACACTCGTATTTGACATATACATGTCCCAACATTACTATACAAGCAGTGTTCAGCCCATGTGTTCACCAAAGTGATTTCAGGTAGTTGCGCTCCTCAATAAAGTGTTTTGTTTTTGGGTTGTTACACAGGGTCCCTCCCCCTGTTGTGAGGAGCTTCGCACACCACCAGTAGTCAACCTTCAGAGTTGT